GAAATGTTGTGTAGTGACATGTGCTTAATAATTACTCATAAGGCTCAAAGAACAATACTATTTTCACTTTCACATTGGCTTAACAGCCACTTCAACCTAGGGATACAAGATACAAGATACAAGAAATTTCTTAAAGCTTAAACAAATTTAGAGAAATAATTCATAAAAATTAATTGTTTAATTGTCACATCTCAATATTTCAATATGATACAACTAAAAATGGAACAATGAAAATGTAAAGCTTTTCTCATTTGCTGTGGTGCATTAATCTAGTCATTCTCAGCATTAGCTAAACATTATGTGTGTTTTAGAACAATTCATAAAAACAGTAACGCACCATTAATTACTTACAAAAAATTTTTTTTGTAGTCATATGTTCATGTCTGAAAAGAAAATATCTATGTCAGTGAACATGTCAGTCCCAACACAATGAAATCCTTGTTTCATTGTGTTGTCAATATTAGTCATTAGTCATGTTGTCAATATAACAGTGGAAGGGTTTTCTTATGTGAACTATGGTTTTTTAAATATAACCTGTTGAATCACCTGTCAACTCTCATTATATTTCGTTAATTTTACTCAGAAAAGCGGATCAATCAAGAGGTTTCACTACCGTTTGTGGATGTGTCAAAAGATGCGAGGATGCCATTTGAGAAACATACTCTGCCCTGATGTGAAAGATTCAAGATTACCAAAAAACCTAAAGAAAAATTGATCTCTAAGGAGGGGAAGCAGTTTCTCACATATAACATATCACCCTGGTGTATAATTCATGGAGGGTAAATCACTCAAATCCTGGTCCTGTGTTGACTGAGTAAACCCACCAACAGGCCTGGTCTTGCCCAAGGACACAATGACAGAGGCGGGCAGAGGAACTTAAAACCCACCGATTGCAGGACAAAATCCCCTCAGTTCTATAATTGTGGCATCATTTTTAAACACCCAGAGACAACATCCATTTTTGCATGTGATCAACCAGTTTGCTATATCTACAGGCAATTTATCTAAAACCACCACTGTGTACTGCCTTGTTGCTTACTTGTCCTGGCATGCAAACCTAAATGTTGTGAATTGAAGACTATGAGAAAAGAAAATGTAAGAAGACAATAATTGGCTGGGAAAACGCAACCCAGTGGGAATATCCCATGTTCCAGTTTATGAGGAAACACTATGTTCAAACACAGTCTTACTGGAAATGTCATATAGTGACATGCACTTACTAATTACTGATGAGGCTCAAAGAATAACAGCCACTGTTTTTCACTTTCAGATTGTTTTAACGGCCACTTGAACTTTTGCAAGTTTTTGTAAAACTGGATACAAAACACAGGTAAAAATATATATTTTCTACTTACTTTTAAATGTTCTGTTCTTCTCCTCTAACCAATCATCATATCTGTTATTTCTGGAAAACCATTAATAACAGATTGTAATCTAAGTGTTGCTGCTTCATTTGTCACATGATTACAAATTGAGAAAATGTGGTATACCAGGAGAATCCGGACAACAAAAATTTTACCCAACAGGTGTGCTTTTGGACTTCAGGAGGAAGCGAAAGTACCCAGAGAGAATCCAGACATGTATGGAGATGACATACAAAATGTATGCAGGAAAAAGCCTAGGTTGGGATTCAAACCCAGAATTTATTGTTGCAAACCAATAGGGCCACAATAAACAAAAACCATAAACTGCACTGCAGCTATGAACCAGGCTTTTAATTCCTTTTTGTATTTCCTAGAATATTAAAAAAAATTCTGACTCAGAAAGGTTTTATTGTTGCTTTATTTTTTCTCCATAATAAAAAAAGATAGAATTGATTAATACAACAGATATATCAAAATTTATTATAAAAGTTACTGATAATTGGAATCACTGAGAAAAAAATCATTTAATTTGAATTGGCTTTGAATCAGCTGATGATTATTGATACAAGGCAATTAATTCGTTCGTGGCCATCATTTTATGAAACTCCCTTTTCATTGGATCACACATACTCTGGTCTCACTACAAATGTATAAGTATACTTATCATCAGGACAGGGATAGGCAAAGACCTGGGTATCATTTGTATTCACATAAGCCAGGTCACCTTTGAACCCTTGGATCTGACAGACGTATTTGCTCTGGCACGTCAACAGGAGGCGGTTTCGAAAAAGAACACCGCTCTTAGACTGATACTGGTTCTGGGGAGCCAGTCGGGCTGCAGGAAATGATTCACAACGCAAGCCTCGCCATGAACACTCATTCTGGGTTTTCAAAACATTTGCCTCCCAGGTGATCATGGTGTTCTTAAACAGAAGGCTGCTGTGGAGAGGTGTGCTCAGCTGCTTGTTAGGAGATGCAGTAGGATTTGGGTAATAACCACCATAATGACCATAGCGGTCATAATACCCATACTGGTTTCGACTTTGAGACGACGAAGATTTTGCCGAAGGGTCAATTGCAACACTCCAGGTCTCACTTATGTAGATTCTGGGCTTGTAATCATCATTCTCTTTGACTAATTTGAATTGGGTCTGATTACTGTACAGTAGGATATTGAACTGACATGCTTTCAAGACACTGTCACGATATAGATCCCTGTGAGAACTGAAGAGAAGAGACTTGGTCTCCAGGTCAAACAGCTTCTCAGCAGGAATCATGGGGAAGCGAATGAGACGGAGCAAGTCGGTCTGGTTTTCTGAACTCAGGGAGCTGCCATGGTTTGCGATCCAGCCTTCCAGTGTCTGAAGTAAAAAATACTCATCGGCAACCACCAAGTCTGAGCGAGTGAGAAGACTACGAAGGAGCTCCACAGGAAGCTCAGCCCAAACTGGAGAACTGGTCAGGTTTTGGAAATTCCAGGCCATGTACTGGACACAGTTTTCCTCGAGGACCATGTCCTTTGTCTCAACTGCATATTTGTAAAGTGAAACTTGGGAGTCAAAGGAAGCATCAGCTGGGAGGATATTGGAAAACAGTCGACCTATGTCCTCCATCAGTTGGTTAATTCCAAAGTCGGAAGCTAGCTGGTGGAGGCACATTGCAGAGGAGTAGGTGATATCAATCTTACGGGTGTAAAGATACCTGCGAATAAAAAAGATTCAGAAATAAATATTCAAAACAAAGAATTAATTAATTTAAGAAGAAAAAAAACCCCATTAACTTCAGTCTACCTGATGAAGGAGGTGAAATATGACTGGCAGGGTTTGCGGGCAGTCACTGTGATGTTATTTGCCCCTGCTGAAGCACTGAAGTACGGGTATAACATGAGGATCACTTTGTGTGCGCAAATTGTTGTCTCAATCATCTCTTCGGTCCCATCGTCCTTTTTGTTTCCATTGGTTGTCTGGAAAGTGATCAGGAAATCACAAGCGGTACCACTGTCAAAGATTTGACCGAGATCACCAGAGAGGCCGATGCTGTGGTCCAGTGAATGTCGAGAGTCATTTAATGTCACATCATCTGGAAGCAAACAGATATCACAAAGAGCATTTGAAGTGCAGGAAAATACAGCTATTTAACTCTTCTTTAGCCTTAAAGACTCTGGTATTGCCTTTAAAACTAGACCAGGCCCATACAGAATGACAGGACCTCTACTGAACATAACACTGAGCCTCACAAAGCACATTGCAATCTGTGAAACACAAAAAAGAAAATATGATAAGCATAATGGAAACATGGTGACCACTAGAATATTGAAAATAGAATAAAATTCAACCTTGTCTTTAAAAGAATGAATAACAGCAGTTAGATAACGCAAATCATAGTTTTCCACATATATTTAGAATAAATTTTCTAACTTACTTCTTGATTCACAGATAACTCCAACATCCTCTTTATGGGTACAGTCAGTTATTCCCCAGCCACTGAACCGGCAAGACGCGAGTTGTTTCTCTTTCCCTGTACAGGCAATGTCATCAAGCCAAATGGGTCCAGATGCTAAAATGATTTTTAAAAATGAAAAAAAAAAAAAAAAGTTTTAGAATAAATATTTTAATAAAACCAAACACTGTTTGCTTCACCTACACAAAGTGAATTGAACTGAAATTACAGCTCTCTACTAATGGAAATCATTTTACTGCCATCTTGTGGAGGAAAAATCAAAAGTACAGGACACCTTTTCCGTAGTCCTTCCCAACCACAACTGATTTTGCTCCGAGGAAGTTGAGTTGACGACAAACCACCTGGGCTTCAGCCATGTCCCAGTTGTCATCACACACTGTTCCCCATTTCCCATCATGGTAGATCTCCACACGGCCCTCTGAAGGGCTTTCAGAACCAGACAGTCTCACATTGCCTTCATTTGGCTGAGAGTTTCTCTCTAAAAGCAAAAAGTTCAAGGACACATAGCGGAGTTAAACTAGTATTCAGAGTCTAAGTTTACCCTGAGCTCATGAATAGCCAGAGCTTTATCATCCTACAGCACATGCATGACAATAACTTATTGTATATTTCCCCACAAAAGCATTTTTCCTTTCTCCTGACTGGCAAAAATGTTTTCTTAACATGAATGACAAACCATTTCAGCGACTTACTTAGAAAGTCAAGTCTGTATGCTCTTCCAGAAACAAACAGGAGAGAAATGATGAAAGCAACAAGTAGATTTTGTGGGAACACGTCCATATTCTAGAGTAAAAAATAGAAATATGATAAACACATTATCGACTGGGATTTAAGTCAAGTAAACAATTTCTTTCACACTATGTCAATATATAATGCTAAATGTCTGTACATCAAGTCATTTTTTTGAATACAGACACCTACCTTTCCCACCGCTGAACCTCCACTGAACTCTCTTGAAAAAGGGGAAAGGGGGAACGTTGAATATATACTGGCGCTGCAGACGACTACTCCCACTTTCTCCCCTAAGTTTCATTTTACAGCAAAACAGAACCAGCAAACTGTTGCACAACTGTTAATGAATCTGGAAGTTGTTTGAGGACACAATTCATTATTGACCAAGTCTTGCTAGAAATGTCTGGCTGTCACATGCACACTTGGAAGTAAAAAAGAGAAGACTTTTAGAAGAAGAATCAATATTTTACTGTGAGCCTCCCACCCCCATCAAAATAAAACAAAACTATCCAGTACAGCGAATTCCAGTTTTATAAAAACATTCCTCGGATTGTGTTGAGACAAAAGAAAAAAATGTCCAGAGTGTTTACATTGGAGCAAAGAAGAGAAAAACAATGTTCAGAGTGTACAGTGTGAGCATGAATTTGCATTATTTACTGAAAAAAAAAAAAAAAACAACAACATAAACCTCACAGCTTCATTAATCAATTTTATGTATACATTCATTCTGAGAAAGGCTACAGTACTGTCAAAAGCCACATTTTTTTTTCTTCCAGAAAACAAGCTGACGATGCTCAAATGGTCTTACATAATTACCAAACTCACAAGACAAACATTTTTTTTTTGCAGACTAAGTCTTAAGGTCTGTTGTCTGCAATGAAGACAACCCTATAAGGGCTTTAGTGATGGTTTTCCAGGAAGCAGCAAGTGTGGCAAGTCCAACAGTGTCTGGATTGTAAACAATCTTCAACCACAGTGCAGTGGCCTCAAGACTAAGTCTCCATCTTTAAGCCTTCTATATAAACTCTATACCTTCATATTTCACATCACCAATCTTAGTCTCGGGTAAGAGAATGCGTCCGTCAAGAGTGAAGGCCATGATGTAGGTCGCGATCTTTCCCGCGTCTTCCTCTGACTTGAGCGCCAGAAGGATTTGGTCATCTGTGTTGGGGATGAACTTGAACGAAGAGAAACCGTGCGTGGGGATACGTGGCCCCACAAGGCTCACTTTGAAGTCTTTGAAATCAGGCGAGCAGCTCAGGGCGAGGTTGGTCCCGCGGCGCTCGTCCGCTGTCTCCTCGTAGCGCTCTTTGCTGGCGCGACGTGGGAGGAAAAACCATCGCTGTAAGGTGTCACTCCAAGCGGCCGACTCGTGAATAATATATCCTGTAGAAACGAATGAAGTGTGAATGAAGTAAAGAAGAGTGCCAGAAGTCAATTGGATTAAAAAAAAAAAAGAACAGTTTCCTCACCTGGCGGCTCAATCCCCACAGCTTCTTTCATAGATTTGTACCTGGGAACCCAGTTTTCGTGCTGCACATCACCCCGGAAGCCCACCACTTTCACCCACTCTGGGTTGTTGTTGACAAACTCGCCTTCAGTGGTTGTCCACTCTTTCCCCAGGCCTCCAATGTACAGGTGTTCATCCTTTACTGCCAGCCACTCAGCTTTAAACCCTGCCAAGCAAAAGCACAAGTATATTTAATTTGACATTTAATTGAATTGTTCAGCACTGTTTCTTTCTGCATGCACAGGGAGAGTTTGCATGTTCTCCCTGTGCGTGCGTGGGTGCTCTCCAGGTACTCTGGCTTCCTCCCACAGTCCAAAAACATGACTGTCAAGGCTAATTGGCCTTTCTAAATTCTCCCTAGCTTTAGTTCATGACATTACTAAACTGGTTTCATCATAGAGCCTGGTGCAGTTTATTGCAAGCTTGAAACTTGAAGGTTCCTGTTTTTTTTTCTGAATACAGTTTTTTTCATCTTAGGGTGACAGCTTAGGTCAGATGGTATAAACTCAGACAAAATTGGTTGGTGCAACATGATCTTAAACTGATATCAAAACTTGTTAGATGATGGACAAATTTAACTTTGACTAAATCAAACGTTCCCCCAATGTGTTCAGAATTTGTGGACTCTGGTCATAAAAACCATGACTGTGTCAGGAATCCATCAAATGTACATTAAAGCAAAGATTCTTCAAATATCCTTGCTGATGGCTACAAAAACCACATGGCTGAGGCACAACATTTAATCAAATACTTTGAGGGCGAGTGTGTATGTTTGAATGCGATCCAGAATGAATCCTTTTGACTCTTTGTAAATTATTAATAAGGAACAATAAATTCAGACATGTATATCTCTGCAATTGTGACTCAGTGAGTAGAGTAGATGTTTTGCAATCAGCAGGTTGCAGGTTTAATTCTAGGCCTCAAGTTGTCTACAGTGTACAAATGTGAATGTGGTTCTATGTAAAGAATAGTCTCTTTCTGCCAAAAGAGACTTTATACTATGGATGTCTCTTCCGAACAAAAATTTTGAGAGAACTTAAGCAATTCTGGGAAACTACTCATTTTGACCACGTTACCAAGTCAGGATGCAACATTAGTTCATGGAAGTACCAACTAAAAAATTAGATTATGTTTAAAACCTTGTCAAAGCACTTGCATGTTAAATAGTCCATTCTTATACCTTTGGCAACATTCCCATCTCCATCAGGCAGGATAACCCAGGGCACAGCTTTGTCTCTGTCTATATGGTAGACGATACCCGTTCTATCGTCGACGGAGTAGAGTTTTCCATTGAACACCACCAAATCAGAAAGCTCCATGCCCCGGCCCTTCTCTGACAGGTGACTCTCCAGGACCACTTTGTCAGCGTCCCATTCGACCGCCACCTTGTCTCCACTCTGCGACACCAGCAGGTACCCCCTCCGCATGTAGCTGAACCACGTCAGTTTCTTCTCACTGGCAGAGTTCGTGTCCAGGTCCGCGATAACCGCAATGCGGTAGCGCATCCCCTGCGGTGTGCGTTCAGGTGCAGTTAGAGGATAGGTGTCGTTGTACTGTGAATCAGAGTCCCTGACTGCGCTGCCGTGGCAGGGTCTCCAGCCCTGCGAGCCATATGAGTGGCCCGAACCAAAGTGCATGAGGAGAAACAGAACCAAGACCAGGAACGTGGCCACGGCCACAATGGGCTTCCACTTGAGCCGGAACCGAGGGTCGGTGGGACTGGCCATGGAAGCCAGCATGGGGAGGCCTCCTACAGAGATATGCAAAGGGTTCATAGGCTCATTCTGCTCCAGTCGAGTGTAGCCAGGAGGAGCAGACATGGAGGACGGAGGCCGAGAACGACCTATGCAAAAAGACAAATCACAATTCAGAAATTGGCATTAAAAAGACATGATCAAAAGGTTTGCATGCACAGGTCAACAAAATAAAACTCAGATTTATTACACTGAGATATAATTAGCTAATGCAACTCAAAAGTTCAGTTTCTTCAGAAGTGATTACATGCTGCAATAATATTGTAATTCTCACAAAAGGAACCTCAACCACATTTTGATTGAAAATAAATTGATTTAAAAGCAGTCCGACATTTGCATTTTGGAAATCCTCTTCTGATTGCGCAGATCCTATACATTAGCTGATGCCATATTCTTCAAAGTGAGGAGAAATGAACACTTTTTCATAGATTGCATAACATATCATAAATGCCAGTTTTACATTTTGAAATGAGTTATTTAAATGACTTTATTTTTTAAAGGATATTCTAATTTACTAAGATGGACATGTAAGGTGGCTCTACAAGTAGTGAATAGGTTCTACTGGTTCCACAAGTTTTATGATTTTGCTTTGTTCGCTTACCATCCCTAAAAATAAACCAATTCAAATACCAACGGCAGGAAGAAACCGGGCCCAACTTCTAATTTTCAAGCAACAGGTGACAGGACAAGATGTTACTCTGGGTCCTAAAAACATATTTAGAACTAATAACAACAGAGAAACAAATAAAATGTGCTTCACGTAAAGTGGATCACTACATTCTAAAGTGCTACATTTACTGCTCCACAGTAAGGAAAGTAAACTGATTATGTTGCCATTAAGTTACTAACAAATACGTTTCATTCAGACATCCTTTCAAAACACAAATATGAGTTACTTACTCACCGCCTTCTTTCAGAGTCTTTAGTTCAGACTGTATTCAGTTAACTTTTTCTCTATTATACGCGCTGACAAGTGTGGTTGTTAAAGGATAATCAGGAGCAGGAAGAAGACCAGCTGTGGGCGGGGTAAACATCAGAGCAGCCACCAATGTGCTTTGTCTGCGTGGACGTCAGGAGGAGCTAATAGGCTCTAACCGGTATATCAGGACTTGCAGCTCTTGGTGTAGAGCACTTAGACCTTACTGATTCTGTCAATTATACATATTCAATTCCAAGTAAGATTATGGAATGTTATTTAAAGGAAAGATTAAGAGAGACTGAGAATTTAAAAAAACTGGTTCTCCAGGGAATATCTTCAGCTGTTATATTGGATTTGTAACGCAAAACAAAGACATTTTAGAATATAGAAAATATATAGAAAGATTCTACATCATCAAATAATAAATTTTTTACATTCAAATGGAGAATCAAATTATCACCAACTTGTTGCTCGGCAGCTCTGCAGTATTCTGCATATGAAATCTGTTTCTAGGTATCAAGTTTGTTGCTCAATCCTATTTTCGCAAAGAAAAATAAAAAAGAGCATCTAATGATCACAGAACAGGTGGAATGACATGAAGTTAAATGCATTTTATCTTTGGAGTCATAGATGCCTCACACATCCACAATACAAAACACATTGCATGTGTTTCGAGACTACAACGAAATGGCATCCAAATCTCTGTCTTATTTAAAATTGAACTTACTTTTCTCCACCATCAGTAGTTCTTTTAATTTGTCTTATTTCTTGCTCTATGTGTGTGTGGATCCAGTGAGTTCAGCTGCTGTTTTCTTATAGCAATTTCTTGTGACTAAGATTAACACCAGTCCTCTTGTCTTTTCCATTTTGAAAAATGGCTGAGAGAAATAGGCCTTTTCACATTGTATTTGTACCTCAGGGAAAAAAGACATCATAAATCCATACATGCATTTACATGCATAGACTCCATGATTTAAAAGTCATTTGATAAGCTCTTCTTTTCTCACTTGCATAAAGATGTAATGAAACTGAATAAAGGTCGAAGCCTTAATTTGATTTTTTTTTTTTTTCAATTTACAAGGCATGACACACTACAGAAAGCTCATGAAACAGCCCATAAACTACTGTAACCTTTCATCTCAGTCAACGATGACAAGGAAACTCAAAAATGTGTGTGCTTTCACATTTTAGAGAGCCTGTAACATTAAAGCTCAATTTACTTCAGTACTAACTCGGCATGAGGGCATGTGGCATTTTTACCAAGACGAGACCCCCGATCTGAAAGACCCTTTCATTGAAGGGACCTCAGCCAAAAAGCAGCCCGTTATATTTTCAACATCAGGGGCCACCCCAACAAATCTGCCCACCTCCACTGAAAGCTGGAAAAACACAGCTTACCTTTTCGCCTCCGTCCCCCAGAGTTCTTAACTTGAGTCATTAAATTTGCTAAGGGAGGCCCTTGCAGTCAAATCTGAGCTCCAAACTCCCTCTCTGCTCACTGACGATCTGCTATGCAACCGTGACCTGCAGCCATTTCAGCACAGTGCTTGTGAACTCTGCCTGCACTTGGAAGATTATGACCCAGTCCAGAGGGGCAACTCCAACACTGGAACAACCTGGCTCATTCAGCTATCGTTGATCAGAGTAATCCATAAATCTCAGGAGTTAGGGAGGCACAGGCTGAACAAGAGCACAACCAGGTGAGAGGTGAAAGGCGGTACTTCGGTCAGGAGAAAACAAAAAGCTAACCTTTGAATGGATTTTACATAACATGGCAGTTGCTGTGATGTAATCATTACTCTGACTGAGGCCACAGATCACTCTGGTTGGAGCAACACAGCTAATGTTCTTGGCCTCTAATACCCTCTGCTTATTACTGATGCACTCCTTCTAGGCTTTGGGTCACAAAAGATATTCCTGCTCATAATCAAAGGACACACAATCAGTGAGGCTGATAAGAAAAAGAACCCCCGAGAAATAATAAATGCTTTTATAAATTATTAGCTAAATACCTCCAAGTGCAGTAGTTTGTACTAAACACAGTGAAACCCAAATTTCCAACATTGTTGCATCCACATATGGCTATGCGTGAGCCTCTGAAGATGAGCCCAACATGCACATACCAGTCCGTTTACTTGTATATGCTATATAGACATTAATAAAATGTTTTGGTTTCATTGTTGGCAAAAACTGACCAATCAGAACCAAGTTAGGAGAAAAACAAGAACATGAAAATGCAACAAAACTTGTGCTGATCTGATATGTTCTGCAGAGGCTTGATCTTCTCAGTCCGAGCAGACTCGCAGAGACACATGTCCATCTCTACAAAATATAGGGAAAAAAACCCAAAAAAATATAACAAAACTTCTGCATGTATTTTTCAAAATCTGTAATTAAATTGCTGAATTCATATTTGAAATTGTCATGCGCACAAGTTGAGACTTAAAAGTTTCCACTCCCACCTTTAGCATCATCAGCTTGAAATACCACAATCCGATGCATGACCCATGACGGTCACAAAGATCCAAATCTCCTTTCATCATGGAGCTACTTTGCCATTAAAACTTTTTTACATTCAGTCAGCATATCACTTCCTGCAACTAACTTTAGGAATCACAAACGTAAAAGGCACAATTCTGAAATCCAATAGGTGATTTTACAGCCAAGAACACATTAATTCAGATATTGCCCTCTACAAAAAAAGAAAAAAAAAATCTTGATGTTGATCGGGAACACCAATGAGTTTGATTTTGTTTCTTTTTTAAGAGCACATTTATGTCAGTACATAAATATCAAGTACCGACATTTTCATTTGTTGTTGCTATTGTTTTCAGACAGGAAATGTAAACGTTAATTAGATTTTTATTATTTATTTACTTAACCTAAGATGACACAGAAAAGCAGGTGTGGGTATGTTGTTATTGCTCAGTCGTACCATACGTCAGGTGGCTTAAAGGAGGAACCTCTAATGTTCCTTTGCTCACAAGATAACCTAATGATTATTATTATTATTATTATTATTATTATTTATTATGTTTAGCCTCACTTTCCCAAACATGCAAACAAGAACAAAAAAACTGAAATTTAAATGAGCACGACCATCTCTTTTATCACAGCAACACTGTCTGCCAGGCAGCCGACTGACAAAGCATATTTCACCTCACTAATTAACCAGGAAATATCATTATATCATAAATAACATTAAGAAAATGCATTATTAGATCTGTAACACATTATTTTGGTATCACTCAACAAATAGTTGTTGCCTTTCTGTTTAAAACTGAGAAAATTTGATCCTATGAAACATTTTTGCTGTTGAAATAGAGGACATAGTCTATAAAGTAAGAAACAATGCTATTGGTTTGTGGCGCTTTGTAAACATTCTTTCTTTATTCGCTTTTGTTCACAACTATTGCTGCAATTAACAGCCATTTGTGATTGCTTGAAATCACAAATGGCTGAACCAACTGAGTGTTGGTTCAGTAATTTAACCTGAAGCCACACATCTCGACAAAGGGCAGCATCACTAAAGCTGATGACTCCAAGGAGTCAGATGGACTTCCCAAAGGTAGGATCGGACATATGAAGGGACGCAGGGAACGTCATAGATCTGGTGTTGTTCAATAGGAGGGCTTTGATCCATGAGGTTTCGGGTTTTGTATCCGGGAGACATTTCCGTTGTAGTTATAGGCAGGGCGATAAATATTGATGCTAAATAACCCAACATCTGATCTCCACCAGCTTCACTGAGGGTCTCAGGAAGAAAGAAATTCTTCCTTTACAGTTTGAAGATGAAAGGACGGATCTGAACGCGTGCCAAACTCGCGCACACGTATGACTGGAGCTGGGTTACCATGTTTGTGTCCTGCCAGAGTCACCGATGAGATACCTAGATGCTGTGACGAGTCAGATGACACCTGAGATTTACACCCTCCTTCAAACTCACCTCAGATATTAGATCTTCACCCGGTGACAGCAATCAGCGGCTTCGAACACTTCAGGTGTCATCATCGTGTCGCTTCCTCCTTCTTTCTTACACGGACAAAACTGCCGTTACTTCCTGCTGTTGTCGATGACGACAGTAACGTGTCAAGTGATGTGTCGGCCTCAACCGAGCCGGCAAAATATGCCTGCTCAGTTATGTCGCGCTGGGTACAGCATTTTTTGTAAATTTTCCTCGGATAGAAATATAATTTCAAGCATTGATGTAAACAATCTGGCCAATATTTCTCATAACGATAAAACAGAAGTTGGCAGAAACAACGTGTCATTTAGGTGCAGACGGAGCTCAGCCAAATGGATCAGATCTCATGAGAGGGCTGGAAATCCCATTTTATGACGTAGCACAAGAGCTAGCGTTGCGTTCAAATTCTCTGGAAAACATTAATCTGAGAAGTAAATGTTCGTACCTCAAGGTGTAATTTATGCCGTAGACTACCCAAAAATTGTCCTCTGGTTAAAGTAGCACTACATCAACATATTTTTACAAGTAAAAGTATAAATTACCCGTCTTAAGCGCTACTCAAGTACGTATAAAAGTTTTCTGTAAAAAGATAAGCAATTTGTTTTCAAACTTCTTATTAAACTAATATTTAGGTAATTTATTATGTTAAACAGGGTGCAGTACTTCCAAGTACAGGAAATAACACAGCTTCAGCAGATATATAAATAACTGTTTGTGTACAAACAAAAAGTCTCATTAACATGTAGGTGTATGCATGTATACCTGTGTTTGGTCCATTTTTGTTTCAAACATCCCTCTTCATTCAGTGAAATTACTCGGAATGTGAAAAATAGCAAGACATTTGACACTAGTTTAGCAATACTTAACAGTAATATCACTAAAGTGAAAGTACGACATATTTCTCTGGTAAATATAAGTAGTTTCTACACACCACTGCTCAGTTTAAACAATAGTTGTTTAGCATGCTGTCACCCACTTCAGTGAAGACCTTGTTACTGACAGGAATCTAACTGCGGGACATTTTAGACAAACTAAGTAAATAAAAAAAAAATAAATAACCTAAAAGCTAAAACCACATCTCAAATGTGGCCTGAGCTTCCTGTTCTCCACTGACATCAAAGGCACCTGTTGTGGTATGTCATGTTGCTTCTGCAGCCTGTCTGCTGTGAGGTACAGCAAGCTGTATTTACAGAAATCATATCGTATATATCCTCTATATCATCTTTAGCCAATTCACTCATCTTCAGCTGAACACAACAGGTGTCTCAAGTTCATCTTGATATCTAAATGCATTCAGTGGCTGCCATACAATTGAAAAAAGTTCACAAGAAATTAAGCAGGTATGCCTAATAAAGTGGCCAATGAGTGCATATCCTAACATTTATTCTGAACACAATTTATTAATTACAATTTATCAATAATGCTGGGCCTCCTTTCATTTGGCTACAGGTGCCTGTAGCCAAAAACCATGTTAGTCAAATATAGCTGTTAAAACAGACGGTCTTTTTACAGGTTAGGAGTTTCACCACAATCGCAAAGACAAACCCATCTCAAATATTTGCACAAAGTAGCTGCACAGGATGTCAATTATGGGCTGACCAAGAGAACCCGGAAAAGTTTTTATTAAGCAAACCCCATCTGATACAGAACACTGGATAAGGCACTTGAACAATTTATTTGAATAAGAACAGTAAACGTGTTCAAAAAGTGATCAAGAGGAGGAAAAAAAACCTGTATTGTCATGTTTCTGTTTTTAAAACAGGATTAGGTAATAAATATGTCTTCAAATTTTCCCAAAAATCAGAATCCTTCCATGAATTTAGCCTCAAATATATGGTAAAAATTGCTAATCCAAAATAAAACATCCTCACCAATCAGTTTGGGCAAAATGGAAAACAACCCAAAACATAAAGAAAAATAACAATCAACGTAAAAACAAACTTACGGTACAAAAATGACTACCAAGCTAAAGGAAGATCACTAAAACTACTAATCAAAGAAGACAATAAATCTTTGAGGGTTAAAGCTTTTCAGTGGTTGATCATAAAAAAGAAAATACAGTAGTTGGAGAAGGGATATTAATAAAAATAAAATAAAATAAAAAACTGGTGACTACATTATGTGCATTTGCCGTTTCATTAAACAACATTTGCCAAGCTAAACGGACAATTTATGGTTGTGGAATAGCTGCACATCAACATCAGAATACAAACTAAAGTACTGAACAACAACACATTTGGAGAAAAACTTCACTTTCCTATTTCTTAAAAAAACCAAATGCATTTCTCGAGGAGCATATAAGTCCAATCACTTTGTTGTCATTTAACACAAAAGCAACTCAGTTGTACACAAAATTGAAACTAAGGAAGCTGTGAAACTGTGGCAGGCGTCTTGATTTAAAGACAAACATTGGCATCTTACTTTGTCCTAAAGGGTTAAAAAAATAAAATAAAAAATTGTCACCTTTGAACATGAAAAAAAAAAAAAAAAGAAATCTCTCCAGATTTCATTTTTTGTCAAACAGCGCAACAAAACATCCACCGTACAATGTGCAACTATAAAGCAGCAAACTAAAACTCAGTGCCCAAAAATATGCAAAAAAAATGGGAGTGCTGAATACAATCCCAATTTGGAACAAAACCATTGGCACATTTT